GGCTCCCGCTCACTGGCTGAGCGAGGCACGGGAGCAACGACGAGGGTTGCAATCCCGTTGCTGGTCCCCGGTCCGGTACGGGGGCGACACAGGGTTGCGATCCGTTGCCGGACACGGAAAAAGACAAAAAAAAAAAAAAAAAAAGGACCTTTGAAGGTAATTATAAAGTATATGTATCCATATGAAAATTATGCTGAGACCATTTCAGACAAGGAGCTAGTCAGCAGTATTGTAAATGTAGTCAAAGCACAGAGTATACAATTTTAGCTGTCAACAATTCTTTAAATTTCTATGATTGTTCCCGGAAATAGAGAAAATATTTGATTGCTCAGCAGTCTCTTGCACAGTGTAAGATTAAAATAAGAAGCTCAATTTCATGGCATTAAGTATTAGACTTGCTCCTCTTAGTTTACCACAATTTGATATAGATATGAGAAAACTAGAAAAATATGGTAGTGGAATAGAATAGAGAACTCTTAAAGACAGATAGTGAACTATTTATTTTCAGAATAGATTGATCTCTTCAAGGCATGCCTCTCTAAGCATAGCTTCCATTTATATGGCAGATGTGGGATTGGTTAGTGAAAAAGATCTTGATAGGGAGTTCTAAAATGAAAAAACAAACAAACAAATAAAAAAAATTTCTATTAATTTTTTTTAAAGTTTTCAGAATGTAACCAATCCTGAGATTTATTTCTATCTAACTTTTTAAATTATTATTTTTTGTTTGATACCTGGTCAGATTTATAATCAGAAAGGAGAGTAGGTTTTCGTACATATCCTCTTGTTTTTCTCGTTATGCCCCCAGGAGCAATACCTGCTCCAGAGCATCTGCTCTGAAGAATGGCAGAGCTCCTATTTCATTTAGCCTCTCTAATAATATTTAACTGCCTACTGTGTATGATACCACGTAGGTTTAATGCTCCATAACTACAATGTAAATATACCATAAAGCAATGCTATTTTCATTCTGCTTCTCATTCTTCATTCCTAACTGTTGTCTTACATTAATGCCAAGAATTTTCAGTTCACGGCTTACTGAAAAACAAGTTCTTTGTCAAAGAAATACTTTTCTTAAAAATGAGACACCAATCTTACATCTCATAAATCTAATCTAGGATCCTTCTGCCATAAAGATAACTCTCTTGATTTTTATTAGGATAAAATTAGCCCAAGTGAGAGCCAAAAAATTTCCTCTTATACTGATTTGTTGCTTTCTACATCTGACATTAAAGTTCTGGCATTTAATTCTTCATCTTGAACTAAATTCTCTGAGAATTATAATTGTTGAGTCTTGCCATTCCAGTATGTCATGAAGAAGACTCATTTCTGACAAAATAGTTATAGTTATTAAATTCCTCAGTGATATTTTTGTTCATTTGTTTCAAAACTCTATAAGATTCAGCACACAGTAAGACAACACAGTCTAACAACAACAACAAAAATCTGGGTATTAGACTTAAATAGATTTGGATTTAAATTTCAGCTCTGCTGGTTACTAGCTAAGTGACTTCAGGTGAATTTTGCAATCTATGTCATCCTCAGTTTCCTCTTCTGTAGAATGAGGATGTTACCTACTTCATGGCATTATGTGAGGATTTAAAGGGATAATGAAAAGAAGTGCCTATAAGATGTCTAGCTTATAGATTATTCAATAAGTGCTATTGTTTTTTAAAAATATTATCATCCTTATTGTCTCTGCCTACTTTACTGACTGACTCTGACTGACTCCAGTGGAACTGCTCTAATACTCTGCTCAGTGCCAGACATGTGCTAGACATTTTATATACACTATCTCATTGACTATAAATCCCTTTCTTTCATATTCCCAGTTAAACTGGTCTTGTTACTTAATATTTGTCTCTTTTTTTCTTTTCACAGGAAAATGGGCCTTACTATACATCTTATCCCCCATCACCAGATTTGTGACCTACCATCTTTCAGTGCTTCTTGATTCCAAGGATGCTCCTTCCTCCACAAATCGCTACCTATTGAAGTGATACTAATTTTTGCTGTACAGATCCAGAGAGCCTTTTGTCCCCACCTCTCTGGTATTTTTTTATTGACTCTATATTTTCTGGCACATAAGCAATCTAAAAATGGTAGGCCATTCTGAACTGCACACATTTTAAATTTGTATATTTGTATCAAATGGAAATGTCCATTTTTAGTGTTGTTCATAAAAATTGGGTAGCAACTTTTGAGTATCTTCAGTTTCCTGAAGGACACTGGATTCTCCATCAGAGAAGCCACGAGTATTATTCATGTCATCTCCTTGTCATTGCACGTTTCCTTTGTGTATTTGTGTTTCTTGAAATATATGGAACCAATGTATGCTGAATGGATGCATTGTTTGCTTTAGATCCTGGTGTCAATTTGTATTTTATACCATTTACATTTTATACTGATAATTTGGTTATGATAAAAGAGAATTGGGACCAAAAATGTGGGAATGTATCTGATCAAAACCACCAAAATCATTAGCAAAATACAAGACTTGGAATTTTACTGCCCGAGTTAAGACTAAGGTTTAAAGACTAAGGTTCTTTGAATTATCTGACTTGCCACTGTTCTGATCTCAATAGTGTAGGGAAAACAGGACCATCTTCAGGCTTTCTTCTGTAATCACAGGTGATTTGGTCTCTTTATTCAAAAGGACTGCACATACTAGTACTCTTAAGTGAAGAGCATCTCCCAAGACTCCATCAGTGAGCACTTAAGAGATTATGCTGTCTTCCCAGTCATGAAAGGTTTTGTTTGGTTGTTAGTGCTATTACCTCTGAGGACATTTCGTAGCTGCCTGCATCAATGTGGAGGAAGTGTGTCACAGGGAACAAATCCAGGGACCTAATAATTGGCCTTTTTCCAGACCACTTTTGCCAGTCAGGCTCTATTTGTGCCTTAACTTGCTTATGAATAAAAATTAGAATTATACTACCTACCTCACAGAGGTATCATGAGGATAGTATTTAGGAAGGGCTTTGATGTCTTTGGATGAAAAATGCTAAGGGAGTTTGTGTGGTGGGTGTCTTCAGTTAGTTTTTAAAGTATACATGAGGGAATGCTGCAAGGCACTCCTCTTGTCCTTGGCACCTCTCAAGTAATTTCTCTTTTGGGGGGACAAGAGCTGTTTGTACAAAATTCCAACCCTGATGACCTCCTTCCTGCTTTGTCCAGAGTTTCCTCTTGCCTGCTCCTTCCCCAATGTTACACTTTAATGAGAGGCATCTGTAGACATTTTAAACATTTCTTTTGAATTAAGGTCAAACCAGTATCACTTCCAGCTGGGTGTCTTCATACTTCTTTTGATTGGTACATCTACCCCCTCATCTCCTTCCACCATCATGCACTTTGGTGTTCAGAGCAGAAAAAGTAGAACCATTCTGATCTAATGTACTCAGGATCAGTGCTTCCAAAGGTCTCATACCCCATTGTCCAAACTAATTCTTCAGTGGACATGAAAAAAACATACAGTACTTCATTTATGATAGGGAAATTCTCCTATAGTTGTGATAACCCCATCCTGCATTTTCCCACATAAACAAGAAGTTGCTATACATTTCTTAGATAAGCATTCTTACCTTTTACATGTATTGGACACATTGCTTTGTATCAGACATCAAAACTACTTGTTCCTTAAACATGCTTTTATGTTAGGGACTTCCAGTTATGTTCCGTAGTCTTCAGGTCCAGGCAGCAGTCAGATGTTTTCTCTCAAACAGTACTCCTTTAATCCTTGGAACCTTAAAAATCTGAAACTTTCACTTTATATTCTGCAGCCAATTGTTAGATCATATTTGAGGTGTCTTTTTCACTAGGAGCAGCTTTAAAAATAGGCCAACTTTTCTTTGTTAAAGCTGGACTTGGCTACCTCAAGTTGGCATCTGGCCTGAACCATTTCTTCTGTAGATAACAGAGGCTGCAAGCTACTTTGCCATTTGAAAGGAAGCAAATTTATGTATACATTTACTTACAGGCAGTAATTTTGAAAGGATGTTCTTTTGCTATATTCATACCAGTATATTAATGTTTAGTAACACAAGCAGGATTCTGCGTATGCTCAGATTTTAGTACAATTGATGTTCTAGGATATAAAGCTCTAATATGTATATTTATATATTAATCCTATACCGTCATCTAGTTTCCATACATTGTCTGTGTATGTATGGATATTGAGTATAAATTGCTTAATATATGAATAGAAATTATTAGAATTTGGAGAACTAGATGGAGAATAGTTGTATGGCTCTAGGAAGAGTGAATTGATTGTGTGTGTGTGTATGTGTGCGTGTATCTATATATCAACTGTATTTTATAATTTTTTTGTTATTGTTGTTCTTTTTTTTGAGACCGGCCGCACCACGCTCAGCCAGCGAGGGCTGTGAGTGCACCAGTCATCCCTATATAGTATCCGAACCCATGGCAGGAGCACTGCTGCGCTCCCAGCGCCACACTCTCCCAAGTGCGCCACGGGCTCAGCCCTGTATTTTATAATTTAATGGTGACTAAAAAGAGAAAAGGACCACTCTTAGTTAAGCTCTTTTTGGTGTGGGACCAAGTTCATACTTTTATAGTTGTTTAAAGTGTTATGTAATGAAATTATTTCCACATACTAAATCCTAGAGGGGAAACATAGTGACCATGATATTGAAATGATTAAGTAACATTCAGTATATATCTGTTTTTGTCAAAAGGTTGGATAGCCTGAATTAACACATGCCATTTTCAAGGACATATTAGAGGATAAAGGGGTGACTGGGTGGAGATGACCATTAGCATCTGATGTTAATTCAAAGCACCTTGAAGTCCTTAATTTAATTAAAGTTTAGTCATGCCAAATACTAATTGAATTGCCAAAGGCACAACTTAGAAGATATTAATTCATTAATTAATTCATGCAAGGCACAATATGGTTTTTAAAACAAGTACATTTCTTACTTCGGCATATATTTGGGTTCTTCTTAATTCATCTATATCCAAGTTTCTTGATAGTGAAAAATGACCTCTTGAAAAAGCTCAGCTTTATTAGACCAAGTGGTTCATATTTTAAAGATTTTCTTTCCATTAGTATATATCTTATTTTATTGGCTGATGCTTTATTATATTTCCTCTTTTAGGGCAATCCATCTACAGTATTCTTACAGTAATCAACAGAGTATTTTTAGATTACTTTCGGTAGAAAAAATAGATGTAGATTTTTAATCAAATTTCTGAAGTCTGAAGGAAAAAAGTTTTTCCCCTTTCTAGAAAAAGGTAAGTATAATCACTCTCGTAGAAAAAAATAGGCTTATCTATTTCTTCCTGTTTTCTATTTGCTTAGATATTATTTAATGAATTCAAACTATAGGTAATGGTTTAGTCTTTTCTTTGGAAAAGGGATAAGATGTAGTATTCAGCATAAGCGAAAACTCAGTCAATTTTTGTTTTTCCTAATACATTGTATGTATGTATATATGTATATTGAGTTCAAATTGCTTGATATATGAGCAGAAATTATTAGAATTTTAAGTACTAGATAGAGAATAGTTGTATGTCTCTAGGAAGAGTGGATTGATTGTATCAAGGACCAAAAGGACTACAAGATAACCTATAAACACCTCTAAAATTGGAGTTAGGTAAATTTCCAATTGTAGTTCTCTTCAGGTATTGTCATCATAATCAAAATGCACTAACATGTTTTAGCTGGGCTGGCACTAATGCAGCCTCCTGTCATATGATTGACTCAGGGTTTATGATTGCCTGAGAACATGAAGGATGAAGGAGTGTTCTACATTGCCTTAGTCATTTTGGGTGAATGCCATAAACTGGGTCACTTCAACAACAGACATTTATTCTCACAGTTTTGGAGGCTGGGAAGTCACAAGATCAAGGGGCCAGCCAAGTAGGTTCCTGGTTTGCAGATGGCCTCTTTCTTTATCCTCACTTGGCAGAGAGAGAGATCATAATTCTGTCTCTTATAAGGGTATTAATCCTGTACATGAGGGTTCCACCCTAATGACATAATTACCTTCCAAAGGCCCCACCTCCAAATACTATCACATTGGGCATAGGGCTTCAACATTTGAATTAGGGGTTGCATGGACCACAAACATTTAGTCCATAGCATACCTATAATCTAGGTCATATCATAAACCCACAGATGATAAGGATTGCCTAGTAGGCCTAACCATATATACATATACATACACACACACACACACACACACACATACATATATATATATATATATATATACACATACATACATAATCTGCTTTGTTTTACATTCTTTGAGCATGACTAGTGGTCCATATGTGAAAAGCACAGAGCAATAAATAACATAGATCACACTTTGATTTTTCCTGAACTAGTCCTTAAACAAATTGTATCAAAATAAGCTTAGATATTAGTTGCCCTCTTGGATATTAGTTGTTAACTTTATTTTTTGCACTTCTGAGAACAGCTTCTTTGAATCTTTAAGTAAAGCATGCCTCAAATGTATAGGGCCACTGGGTTCCAGAAGAAAAGCATATTCTCCAGGTGAATTACACTAATCATAACTGCTGAATCTGACCTGATATTTTTGTTGAACAGTAAAACAAATCCAGTTTGTAAACACAATCTAATTTTTTTTATAATGTGTTAGTGTAGGCATACAATCACGATAAACTGAGCCAGGACTTTGTTAGACCAGATCTTGTGACCTAACTGTTTGAGTTTAGCATTTATAAATGATTTAATTGCTATTGGACAAAGAGACCTAAAAATGTTTTAATTGACAGGGTCTCCAAATTTGTTTATTCAAAATTCAAAAAGCTTTTCGTAATACTTTTACATTTAAAATTTTTTTTTGGTCTTTCTGAATTGGAAGTTAGATTCCTTTTAAAGAGAGTTCCACTCTATGCAAATACAGCCTATGAAGAACAAATAATAAAATGATAATATTTATATCAAACCCCAGGGAGGAACATTCTTTTTTGACCATTTACACCAGCCCTTTCTGTAATCACTAAAGATAACCCAAAGAGTAGTACAAACAACGGTGAATTTTACTGTCAACATTCTCTATGGAGACCTAGACTAGTGCTTCTCAAACTTTAATATGCATACATTAAATCAGCTGGTGATAATGTTGAAATGCAGATTCTGATTTAGCAGTTCTGGGGTGATGCCTGGGATTCTGAATCTCTAACAAGCTCTTAGGTAATATCAATACTCCTGGACCCCAGACCAGACTTAGAATAAAAGAGCCTAGACTGTATTTAGCTCTTCCATATTTTCTGTTTCAGGGAAAGGAGACAGAGCTATTATCATAGTTCCCTCTGTGGGCCACTCACTTTCTCATTCATTGTCTCTTAATCCTTCTACAAATCCTACCACAAT